CACCCCAATCAGGGGCTCGTCCCTCTGGTGGTGGTCTGTCGTCTTCTGCCACGACAGCGTCAGACGGCGGAACGTCGATGTCTGGAATGTCGGTCAAATCGATCACTTGACGGCCATTTGCCTGGAATTCTGCGCGGAACTCTGCGATAGGATCATCCAGATCCGGGAAGTCGAGAGCGAATTCTGCTGCAGATCGTGCGTCGAAGGCCTCCAATTCGTGTCTTGCGAGACCCTCGTCCTCCGTCTCACTATCGGAGAGTAAATCAATCACTTCATGATCGCGCTGAATGCCAGTTGGAGCCATCGCAAGTGTCCTGTTGTAGTAGTCGTAAGGCTAGATGACGGGTAAACCTCCACGTTAAAGCGTTGCTATCGAGTGTGCGTCTAGACCGAGCGTTGTGGAGTTTCTTGAGTACGTTGAATGGGGGGAACCAAATAATAAACATTAATTTGTACCTAGCGGAGAACCTGGGGAAGGAGTGAGGGGCGATGGAACTGCAAACGCGTGTGGTGTTTACGTGATTCAGACCAGCTCAATTCACACGGACGTAGCCTTGTCGCTCACCCCACCAGTTGTCGGAGGAGGCCTCTCACCGACTGATAGGCACTAGCTGAAGGGAATAAAAAGGAACAAGCGAAATTATGAGAGTGACAGGTTTCACACTGCAGCGCAGCGGAGTGAGACCTGAGTGTTGCGGGTGCAGGCCGCTGGGAGATCGAGGAGCTATTGCGGCCAGCCCTGAGCCAGCGAAACGGGCAAGGGCACCAGTCAGGTAAGAGAGCAGAGGCAGTAGCTATGTGCCACAACAGCGCATGTCAATGAAAAGCCATTACAGTGCCGCCAGCGCTCAGCGAAACAGAAATGGCGTGTCGTCGTGAAAGGATGCTGCGCCGCTCTCAGGGCGGGAGATGGGCGTCTCGCCCAGATGATCGTGCAGTTCGCTCCAGGCCGGCCCCAGGGCTCCGCTAGCCCAACTGCCGCTAACCGCATCATCACGAGCCTGCGCGCGCGTCGCACAGGGCTGAGAAGAAGCAATGTCTGCCATCGGTCTTGGTGATGCTGCCAATGGACGCGCGAAGCTTTTGAGACCATGACATGCAAACTCCCGCCTACTGCCTGGCCTCATGCAAGGCCCGAGCTACTCACGAATCGGACAGGCGCACATGACCCGTGGGAAGCTGTGACATCCAACCCTCGCTTTGCCACGGCACACCTCGGGCCGCGAGCAACATGATGTTGGCTCGGAATGCCTGGAGGACACACGGAGTCAACTATAAGATCACACGGAGCTCAGGGCGGGATGGGGCCACCAAAACGCGGGGCGCCCTTGACTAGACAAAGAACTACAGGTACCAACTTCCTCTTCTTCCTTAGCTATCCGCATCCTACAGCGAAATCGAGGTAACTTGGACCCGCTATTTACTCTTTCCTGAGTCGTTACTGCCACTTGATCTGGAAGACTGCAGCTGAGCAGGACCGAATCCACATCTGTCACGCCCTACGACAAGCGTAGTCGACAGCTAGATATAAGACCCTAGTTATCTTCGCCAAAGGCCAACCTATTAGATCAAGACTCAACATACATCTACCCTACATAAAACACTACAACATGGCCATTGCATCCATTCTCGAGAACCTCAAGGGTGGTGGCTCGCCTGGCCTAGAACTAGTTCACCCTACCGAAGCCGAAAAGCAGATACAGTTCAACGCAAACGCAAACGAATGGCGCGGTGCTCTTTCCAAGCCTGCATACTTTCGTCGCGAGGCCACACTTTCGCAAACAACCCTAACACGTGATGGCGGCATTTCATACTGGATCCTAGCTGACCCTGACAAAACTGTGTCAGAAGACCCTTGGAACCCAAATGCAGGCACCAAACTACCAAAAGGCACCCGACTACCACTAGCGAGCTGCGAGACCATCCGGAAGAAGGCGCTCGTGTGGCAGAACGGAGAACTCAAGGAGGTCATTTGTCATGGGGTCGGCAGTGTATTCTGCCCAAAACCTCTCCGCGGGAAGAAAGAGGGCACCTCGTATGCGAGCAGGATGCTAACGGAGCTTGGGAAGAGTTTAAGAACATATCAGACAGAAGATGGCCAGGAGTCTCTGTTCTCAATCCTATACTCTGACATCGGGAGGGTTAGTAGCTCTGACACTCTATGACGATGTATTGCTAACAAAGACAGGAATACTACGCGAAATTCGGCTGGGAATCTTTTACTTCTTCCCATGTTTCCATCCCTGCGAGCACTTCTCAAGACACGAGCAACTTACCCACGGCCCGACCACTGTACGCGGACGATCTGGGGGAACTATGCAAGATCGACGAAGCCTCCCTCCGCCGAAGTCTAGAGTCGCGACCCCAGGATAGCAACATCGCAGTCGCAATACTTCCCAACATCGAGACGATCCAATGGCACCACGCACGTGAAGAATTCGTAGGCAACGAGCTACATGGCAAGAAGCCGGAGATCAAAGGCGCGGTCGTTGGAACGGAGAAGGGCAAGCGCGTTTGGTGTTACTGGACAAGGATGTGGTACAACGAGAACCCAGCTGAGGCCAAGGGCAACACACTGCACATCCTACGGTTGGTCATTGAAGACGATGGCGGGGAGGGCTCTTCGGGTAGCATGAACGGCGGGTCGGAGAGTCACAGTCAGGAAGCTGCTATCGCGGCCCTCATGGCGATGGCCCAACAGGAGGCGCAGAAATGGAAGATGGAGAACGTGGAGATGTGGGCGCCTTCGCCGGCGGCGCTGGCAGCTGCTAAGAAGCTGGACCCGGCCGCGAACCTCATTGAGAGAGACCAAGAGAGCATCGCGGCCTTGCAGTGGTTTCCAGAACACGACGGACCGGTTGCTGACAAGATTGACTGGGTCGCAAATGAGAAGTACGGGTGGTGTTGAGTGCGGAAGTTGCGATCCGGATCCGACAAGTTGATAGATTTCCATGCATTGCTGCCACCGTCGAATAGCTCCCAAGGTCGTTGATGTGACGATGTGCGCGCAATGTAAGGCCGGATATTGCAGAGAGTTGATGTGTTGCGGAGCATCTTCCTCGACCAACTGGACAAGCCAGAAAGGATCAATGAAAACAAACAAAGCCTGTCAGATTGCTGTCAACATCCTGCTTTCCAGAGTGGCCGAAGCACACTACCAGTCAGCTGAGATCATCGCCATGACCGCCGAAGCAGTCATAAAGCCTCACTCTTGGATGTCGAAGCTGATAATCATCAACCAGGTTGGAGATTCTGTGGCTACTAAGAGTAACTCAGAAGAGGATGCATACTATTAGAAATGATTCTATGAAGTCTGCGCTGCTGTCAGTGATAGTTCCAAACGTAGGGGGTGGGGGTTCAAATTACACGATCACTGTGAAGAAAGGAAAGCAGGTTCGGGCAGGGCGGGGAGCGAGAGGTAAGCACACGATGGCTTGGCACGAGCTAGCGAGGCACAGACATATTCACACGTCTGTGCGCCGCCTGGCGAGAATTTGCCGCCGATGTTCCGCCGACCACCGCAGGCCCCGCAGATACGCGTTCCATCCGATGCGCGACGCGACGATGTACACAGTGAATCGCTGTAGCGTCAGCGCCAGGCTGCCTCCGTTTGCCTTTCTACCGATCCGTTTGCTCAAATCCTCGCGAGCTTACACACCATCCAGACAAGGCTCTACCTTTGCAATACATCAGCGAGGCCATCGCATACGCCAACAGCGCGACATCCTCCAGCGACGGCCGAAGATACCCACCATTCCGTACCCGCCGACGCACGAATGACAAACTCGACGTTCACTGAAACGACTCGAAAAACAAGCGGGACACGATGTGTCTCTTGCGAACAGCAGTGGGCGCCTTAAGGTAGCAACAAAAGCGCAGGAAGCTTTGTTCGACCAGACACACCAGAAACTGTCGATCAAGTACACCCTCGCACCAAGCCGCGACAGATCACTAAGCCCAACGAGCCTCCGACAAAGGATACCACCTCCTGACTTCACGCATCCGCCACCGGTATCCCCAACGAACTACCCTATTATGTGCGACAACGTACAAACCCCTACTTAGCTCGGTCGGGCGAGGATACTACAATAGACCTCCGGAGCAAGCACGGCGGCTTATACTGCACCCAGGCAGCTACAACAGGACCCGAGCAAGCTGCGGCAGTTTACAACACCCTACCCAAGCCAGTCGAGCGAGAGGACTACAACAAGATCCAGACGCAAGAACGGCGACTTACACTGCACCCAAGCAGCTACAACAGCTTACGAGATGCTCAACGTTCGCGGGCGAGGGGACTACAGGAGTACTTCGGCGCAAGCAAGATGGCTCATACTCGACCCAGGCAGCTTCGACAGCTTACAGCACCCTGCTCGAACCGGTCAAGCGAGGGGACTACAACAAGATCCAGACGCAAGAACGGCGACTTATACTGCACCCAGGCAGCTACAGCAGAACTGAACAAGGCGCGGAACCTGATCAGAACTGTCGAAGCGAGGAGACTACAAGAGGATCTTGGCGCAAGCATGACGGCCCATATACAAGCCGGGAGACTACAAGAGGATGATCTCTTCCTCAGGCCACCAGCAAGCTGGAAGACCCGATGAAAAGCACCTAAGCGGCATTTAAGCCGACAAAGGCGGAGCAGTTGCTTTTTGGCACGTGCGCTCCAGGAGTTCATGTCAAAGACAATCCCTCTTTACTTCCCGAAGGCGGTTTTTAGTCCGTCACTTCGTTGAAACTGGCTGTAAACCTTTGTTTCCTTGAGCGGTTGGCTTTGTCCCGACTCGTAGTGGCATTGAAGCCGACTCTCAGTGGCATTGAAGCCGACTGGATGAAATCTAAGTGGCGCCTTGCGGTACCAGCTGTGTCAGCAGTAGAGGCGGCTGCAAGCCTGCGCTCTGGTCACACCAGCAGAAGTGGTGTATAGTGTCAGGGGTGGGGAATCATACTTACCTGGAGACGCTTCTTGAAGTTGACGGTTTCAAGATCAGGGTGAGCCTCTAGCTGGCCTCACTGCTGGAAGCCTGCCTCTTCTTGTACGCGGCGGCGGCGTAGCTGTAACCTACTCTCTTTCCAGAGAGTTGGGATGCAAATCCCATCTTACTGGTTGAGCACGAATTACATACCCAATAGCAGCGGCCTTGGAGCACCCTGTCATTCTGGAAGACCCTGGGTACATGCTTCCCAGTCACCGGACATTGATATGGTGACCTCTGGTCGTTGGATTGGTACTTGTGGAAGTGTACCTCAACCTCGCCCGGCATTAGTAACTCCTTAGTACAGTTGGGCCCCTGACACAACTTTGGAGTTCGTACGGTCTTTCGATGCATGAGCTTCTTCTCTTCGCGCAGCGGACGGTTGACTCCCATTCTCCTGCGGTACGCCATGCAGTTTCGGCATTCCACTTCTTCTCCTGGACGCTCAGGGTTGATAGACACGAATGCCATTGGTTCCCACAACGGATCTTTTCGTGGTACGATCTTCCTAGAGCAGTTGCCGCAAGCCGATTTGGCGTACGCGACCCAGTAGCGATACCCCTGAGAAAGGGACCACGTCGAGTTCAGGCCCACTGCAATGCGAGATGTTAGGCCTGCGAAGCGCCTACATTCCCGAACATTCTTGTATAGAGTGTCATTGATGAAGGGCTCTTTGCAATGACCGGGATCGGGACGGTGACCAGGATCCTCGATGGTTCCAAGGTAGAGCATGAAGAAAGTCTCCGCCAAACAAACTAGCCATGGATATGGAGTTTGACCGTAACGTGCAAGAGCGCGAAGGCATACAGTCGAATCGCTCTTCATCACCTCCAGAGCGTGCTTGCCTGTCTCCTTGCTAAGCTTCTTCGTCAGATACTGATTCCACCGCTGAGCAAGCCCGAACTTTCCAGTAGCAGCACCGACATACAGCTGCTGAATCTGCCGGCTACCGTGCATAATGTGTAAGATGTCGACGTAGACACCTTTTTCAATGTTCTGGTCGACCGACCCTCCAGGTAAGTTCACGAGGTCGTCAACCGTGAAGTCAGGCTTTCCGAGAGTGGAACGCACTGAGTCGTCAATGCCGCTGAAAAGACATTCTAGCAGATATTCCTCAGATGCGTTCCGCAGCATTGTGAGCATCCCTGAAACCATTGGTTTCCATGTCCTTCGCTTAACGCTTTTGGGAAGTTCCAAAAATTCGTTGGCGGTGGTCTTGAGGAAACGGATGATGTTGCGGGCGGTCTCTTCGAAACGTTCGAGCCGTTCCTTGTCCTCGAAGTCGACAGCAGCGTCGACCGCGGGAACTCCCAGTCGTGGATCAGAACTCATCCGGAACCTGAGTGGTAGGTTCTGAACAGTCGCCTTCTTCTCACTCTCATCAAGGACTTCGTCCTCATCTTGAAGCCCGTTTCCGATCTCTTCGAAAATCGCGCAGTCACTCGTGCTGGACAACTTTGCAGCTCTTTGCTGCGCAAGGGCCTTTCGTGCGTTACCCTTTCGCTTCCAACCAACAAGTTTCACACGAATCTCGTCAGCGGGCTTCTTGGTTGAATCTGTGACCGAGGATTGTTGCCCCTCGGTTTTCTGCTTCTTCTGAGGAGGGCCGAGATCCTCTGTGAGATCATCGGAGGCCTCAGGAAAGTCCTCATCGTCGCTCAAGTCGTCCAGGAGCGGCCCGTCGTTGTCATCGTCGGCATCAGAAACGTCGTCTCTGTATGCCTTGGTGCCGTAGAACATGGCGTATTCGGCTTCCAGTTTGGCGACGCGCACGAAGTCTGCCTTCAGGGCCTGGAGGTTTTCGCCGTCTCCCTCCGCTACCATCGGCTGAGCCACGACCGGTTGAGCCGCCGCATGTTGAGTACCTGCGTCCCCGGTCGTTTGTGCACGCCGCTTCGCATTCTTTGCCTCTCGCAGGCGATTGTCACGTTCGGGTGACGCCTTACGCTTGGCGTTGTACCTTGCGTGCTCCTCACGTTTTGCTTCGGCCTTGACGCGAGCATCTTCCGCAGCGTCCCACGTCTGCAGCCACGGGATTGTCATGCCACCCGTAGGTGGCGCCTCGCCTCGGCCAAGCAGGATCTGGAGGATCTCTGGCTTTCGCGCCAAGAGGGCTTCGTCGGCGTTCCATTGCCGCAGCCACGCTTCGTCGAAGACGTCTTCTAAAGGTGAGTATCACGGGTCAGCATTGTTCTACCTACTAAGCTCAGTGACTACGAGGCTGTACTTACTCGGTGGAGGTACCTCGCCTCGTTCAAACAGGATCTGCCCGACCCTGGCCTTCTCCTGCTCGAAGGCCCTCTGAGCCTTCGTCTTGTTCGCGCGTCGCGGCGGCATCGCTTCGAGATGCGATGGCGCTCGAGACTCGAGCGGGGATTGTAAATATAAGAGAGGAAAAACTGCTATGCGTACAACGATCGTACGCGTGAGCAGTGGGTGAGTGGTGTTGAAGCAGCTTCAATTGAGATTTTTCGAGGATATACATCGCGACTGCTCACTAGACCCTGAAGCTCGCGCCCACTTTCATCGCAACCGCGTGGTGAGGACGTCCCAAATCGGCTCCACCCTATAGAATACCATGCCATGGAAACAGGAACGCGATTTGGACGCATCATACGAACCAGCTCCTCCAGGCGACTCTCCTCATACCCAACAATCACGAAACACACGTCTTCTTCCAAAGGTATCTCGTGTTGAGGTTACGTGACGCGTGGTGAGGGCCCACTGACTCACATTGCCTGACGCTCCTTTCACATGCGGTCGCTGGGCATAGAAACCGATGGAAAGTGAGCTTTTCTGCCACCATACGAAGTTTGAAGAGAGAGGCGGATGGCATAGCAGACTTGCACTGATGTAGGGTCGCTGATGGGCCCGTCAGTCGCTCGTGGCACTGTCGCTATGTGATGATCGAGACCGTTGCGGGCGCCATGATTGGTCTTCCACATGGCCCCTTACCCTTGACTTTGTTGTTAACATTGCTCCTAGCTCCCGGACCCATATGCTCTCTCGCGTAGTGCAAGCGGAGGGATGCCATCCTTACGCACATTATGTCAGTGGTACCTAGCTACATTGTCCATACTAGAGCCCATGTCAAGTCTCTATGGCTGGCTTCCAGCGCCGCTATGATCTGGTGTAGAGAGGCATCACGTAGGTAGCATACGCGCACTGAGATCACGACGAGGGTACGACACCACGCTCTCTTCCTGTAGCAATACCGGCTAGTGCTTCATAGACCGCACAATCCTCACCTTCTCCAACAACACTGGCTAGTCATTCATGGCCACGCTATTCTCACCTTTTCCAACAACGACAGATGGACCTTCGTGGTTAGTTGCGCCATCCTTACCTTCTCCAACGACAGCGGATGGACCTCCAAGGTCACGCCATCCCCCTCTTGAATCACAACGACTGGTCCTTCATGAGCCACGATCTCCATTCATGCACCAACATCGTATGCGTTGCGTCAACAAGAGCTATGGCGCTTAAGGAATAGGTGAGACGACTCCAACGTAGCTACGGCGCGCGCGCACGACGGCTTTACGAACACTCTACATTCCGATGAAGCGAGTGAAGTACATCACGAGACTGTAGGTCGACGCTGAAAAGGGAGGATGTTGAATGCGGCCATAGATTCACGTACCCTGCTCATCAATCAATACACTCAAAGAGACCTGTTCGCACCTCGAGCCGTCTTGTCTCCGTTCACTTCCAGATACCATACCAACCCGAGTAGCACGAACCTTCCAGTGTCCTCCATCACCGCCCACCACATCACAGCGTCCGAACCCCTTCCAGCCTCCCAAGTTCCACTAGCCCTCTTGCTTTACAGCAGCAGCACCAACGCAAAGCGCCTCATCACCATCGCCTCTACTTCCTCCTGCTTCAATCATACTTCCCTTCGCCGTTAGCAGGCATCGCGCTGAGATCCTCTCCGAGTAACGATAAGGGCGACGAGACATACACGGAGTGAGTGTATGTTGTCTCATTGTTGTATATGGCGCACTCAAGAGTTGCGACATATATCTGCTCTCACTCATGTAACACATCACTCTCTACGCGGCTGGACCGATGCACTACTCCGTAGTCAGTCGAGGCAGCCCTCCATTCGATCATACCGAGGATTGACATCTGCTCTACCTACGAGCTACAAGCTCCACTAAGAACAGGAGATGCATCTTGCCTGACGACCTCTAAGTTCACGATCTTCGCTGCTCGGGTGGCTTCATACGTGGCGTCAGGTAGTCTGTTGGTTTAGAATGCCTCATCCTGTCACTTGAGAACTTAACAGCTATGTATCTCCTATCCTGTCCAGACTACCCTTCGTATGCTGCGAGCAAGCGCAAGGTACTCAATGCTCTATCTGGGTGCTCTTCGTGCGACGCGGATAGGGGTGGTACGATGCCGGTGAAGCAGCTCGCGTTCTCTCCTTCACCGAACACCCTGTTATCACTTGGCGACATCAGAAGTGGGCTGATTTATCTGTGCAGGGCATCTCACTCACGATGAAAAGCATCCATCTGCCACTGGAATATTCGAATGGGTTAACTTCGGCAGTCCTTTGGGCTGCTCCTATTCGTCCGGTGCGGTGAATGAGGGATTCTGCCACTTCACCTGGCCTTGGCTATGCCATAATGGAGACACCGCTTTGGCTGCCGGGCTACTGATTGGAGTCTTCATAGTATCGTGAGTCCAGAAGAAGATGCTCATCGTTCAGCATTTTCACGGTGAGGCTTTGGAGTCGTAGCACGATGGTCCTTGCTGCGGTCACCCTAGGACTATATAAAGAGCGCTTCCCCCCTTCCCAGTCCCCTTCTTTAAGACACCCACTCTCACGTCTGTAAGTTGTTGCTTTTTCCCTTCGATCCAATCCATTCCTTCATTCCGATGTCTCCAGGCATGATCATACCTCCCAAGACATTCCAGTGTCTTCAACATTCACCATCCATCCCTTACACTGCTGGATCTCCGCAGCACACTTCACTCCCTTCACGTTGCATCCTATCCACCATCCCCTATCGTACCATCGCATCATCAGCATCGAGGCCCAATCACCTCTTCCATCATCGCATGTCACGTCATGCCATGTCATGATGTGTTGAGTTCATCATGTTCATACATGGATTGAACATTGACACACACTCAAATGGCACTTTTCATCATTACATTACTAACGCATCGTAGAAATCAACACCATGGCCAACTTCAAGCAAAGTGGGGGCACCCACAACCACTACCACTTCGCCGCCGGCGACAGCAAGGCCGTCGCTGCTGTATGTATATCTCTTTCACTCAACGCTTCTCGTACACATCTTCACACCCATCTACCAACATGCATATCTTCTGCTTGATCCTCGATGGATCTTCCAGCACTACCCTTACCGACATACTTCTCTCCTCTATCTCAAACCATCTTGTTCTCACGACATGAGCAACCCCTATCCTCTTCATCCCCTTCCTTTCGCATGGGTCTTGTTCCAGTTTTGGTCTTCCTTTCGGAAAGATCTTTGCATTTGGATCACTCATTCCTTTTCAGTCATCCTGTTATTGGTATTCATGCTAACGTAAATCTAGGCGCTCCGCAACAACAAGGGCCCGCGGCCCAAGAAGAAGGTCGGCGGGGAGGCCGGCCCCAACGTATGACGATACCGACTCTTTGTTTTTTTCGCAAAGCTCACTTTCACTCAGCGATCCACCCAACGTCGTCGCGCTGCTCGCGCAGCGAAAGAGGAGATCGCGGCTGCTGCTGCTGCTCCCGCTGCCGTTGCCGCCACCAACTCTGTAAGTCAATCCCCCCTTTATCTGAAGCTCCTTTCAAGTCTCCTTGAGCACATCGACATTCTCAGTCTTTGGTGTAAAGATTGGATTCTATTCCATCTTCAATCACACGCAACACTTTTGTCAACTCTCTTACATCTTCACATGCTAACTATTGATCTAGGAGCCCGCCGACGTCGCTGCTGCCGGCGCTGCCCCCGTCGTCGCCCCGGTCGCCGCCCCGGTCGCCGCCCCCGTCGCCGCGCTCGAGGCTGCTGCGGCGCCTCCCGCTCCTGTAAGTGCTATTCAATTCCTACTCAACGTCCTCGTTTCATTAGATGACTTCATCTTTGCAACACGAAACATCCATCTACATCCCTTTTGTTTCCTCAACATCATCTGTATACCGACGATACCTCTCCCTTCAACTCCCCCTTCATTTCATTACCACATCTCTCATCTCTTTTGTTGTTCTATGATGGATTTCTTCATCGTTTTCAACGTCACTGGTCGCTTCAATACGCAGTATGTATACTAACAAGCTTTTAGGCCGACAACACCCCTCCCGCGCCCGCGCGCCCCGCCGCCCCGCCCATTGTGGCCGCTGGTGGTGCCGGTGATGCTGCTGCTGGCGCTGCTGCTGGTTGCCGTGCGGCTGCGGACGCGCAGCCCCACGTTGAAGATGTCGACGAGGAGATGGGGGACGCCCCTGACTGCTTTGAGTATTTGGGCCTCACGGGCATGATGTCGCGTTTGTGGGAGCAGTAGTTGTGCGCAGTAGTGTTGTCTGGTCTTTCGGCCCGGTCCCGTGTGTGGGGCTGGGCCATGTATGAATGAACAATGTCTCCGGTATATACCTATCTGAATATGCTATAGTGATGTGTGAAGTACTTTGAAGAAGCCAAACCTAGTTTTTCAATGACTCGAGCCCCAATAACATTTCAGCGAAAGCTAACTTCTAACTGCATTGACAAAGATGTTTATCCTTTTGATAAATAGATGACTACTTGCGTTGCTAACTTCGTGCGTAACGTGAGCAGATACAAGGAGTGTGCAATGGGTTTGAAAGAGAAATGGAAGGCAGCATCATAAAGTTTTCGTGGTTTGATGCCGGAATGTCAGACGTGCCAGACGTATACACTACGTCGTCTGTGCCCGGGTTGTTCATGCCAGGCGCAGTGTATCCTTTAGAGTGTGTCAAACTCTACACCTTCGGCAAAACGTACTTCATTGTAGACGGCAACTAAAGTATAGGCTATGCATCTTCGCGACACTGTAGTCCGCTCAACGTCGATTATAGACTTAGCCAACATTGAACTTTGTGTACTAACGAACTCATCAAGCCTCAATATGAACCCTGACTCATGATGAGCGGCATAGGCTTGCGAACCGCGCACCGATTCGGACTTTCCGCTCGTAAGAGCAGTAGGGTCTAGACGAACTCGCAGTATCATGACTTTGCGCGCATAGTCCGTTGAACGCACTGAAGTACTACAGGCTTCGTCATGAGCCCAGCGACCGAAGAATGTCAGGCCGAAGTATACGTCTAGTCGGGCATAGTCGTGAGGGATCTGAACAGCCGTTTGGTCATTTCAAGAAGTACATCTATGAACTTACACCAGTACAGTCTGTTCACGTGCTATCATCAGGACATGTTAGTGATGCAGATGATGTGTCGCGGCAAGGAGATGTTTTTCGAAGACTCTCTGAGTAGCTTGAATTGCAGTAGAGGCTGGAGTACTCAAACCATTTTTACCGAGCGTTTCTCATTCCAAGGGTACGCTGAGGTGTGACCGGCTCTACTATAAGTAAGTTCTACAAGACACGATGAGCCCATGTATGCGGTAAACATGTAGGCTGCTTTACACCCATTGAATGCTTTCTTCGCTCTCAACACGGTATATAGGGCTTGCAGCCGCCTGTACTACCTACACAGCTGGTAGCGCGAGGCGCCACTTACATCCAGGAGACTTCGTCGCAATACTGCCGGCTACTATAGCCGCTCTCGAAGATTGAGTTACACGCCGCCCTAGCTTTATCACAGTTGGCTTCATTGCCGCTACGAGTAGGGACAAGGCCAACCCGCTCAAGGAAACGCAGGCTTACAACGAATGTTCCAACGGAATGACGGAACGAAAACCGCCTTTGGATCTCGATGGCGGATGCGTGAGCAGGAGAGGACGTGTACTTGATCGAAAGCTTTTGGCGTGCCTCTTGATGTGAAAGACAGTATGCTTTTGGTTGAGAGGAGCTCATACGCTGTCGTCGCTAGCTTCAAACGCTTACTGCTATTCGCGCGATTCCCATCGTGTTCCGCTTTTTTTTCTTCCGAGTTGGTCGAGCGATGTAATGTTCTAGTATGAACAGTGATCTGGTAGTTCGCGTGTCGGCAGGTTCTATGAGCGTAGTAGTCCAGGAATTGGTGTGAATGGAGGTGGACATCGCGCTGTTTAATGAATACGATGGCCAAGGAGTCCGCACCAGAGTTGTATTGTAACAGCGTTATGGTGACTACATAGGTTTCGAGGTGTATCTATCGTCACTTGACTCACCCTTGAATTCTTTTGTCGTCGGACAGCGTCACCTCGGATGGGTGATACGATAAGTACCTAGGTATGCGTGCACCTCAGGAAAACGACTTCGGGAGCTCCATGTAAGCAAAGCATTGAGATTCGATCTGACTCTAGCGAAACAGCGATCAATCACCTGACCAATGTAACGCATCGTAAACGTTGAGCCTTCGCCGATGGTGTCATTCGTTGGCGCCGACATCGCCATTGATGCAGGCACCGCGCATGGCGGGGTTGGACTTGTGCGTGTGGCGGGGCAGGACAAACGCAATTGCATTCAATGAAACACAAATGCCTTCGCAGTGTGTCTCCGTTCGTAGACAATCGTCAATCAGACTACGGCGACGCCAATGGTGATCATGCAGCGGCCTAGTCGACGCGTGCAGGCGACCCGGAATTTGACAGGGCGAGACGCGGTCCCTTGACTCAACTGCGATCCCGGAGTCATCACAACATTTTTCCCCACGGGGACCATTACTTCACATCGTCTTTGGGACATACACGACAGCCGTCACCAATTACACTTTTTTACTTTGCATTGCGCTAGATCGTCGATTGGTATTACACATAATGTCCTCACACACAGCATCGCAGCGGTACCTGAGTACCCGAGGAGGATCCTATGACGTGAGAGCGACCCAGCGAGGATGCGCTCAGACGGTTGCTAACAGGGCATAGTTCTCCTTCGAGGAAGTCGTCCTCAAGGGTCTCGCTTCCGACGGCGGCCTCTTCATTCCCGAAGAAATCCCCACGCTGCCCGACGACTGGGCGTCCAAGTGGAAGAACCTCTCCTTCGCAGACCTCGCTTTTGAGATCTTCTCTCTCTACATCTCCTCGTCCGAGATCCCGGCTGCAGACCTGAAGGACATCATCCACCGCAGCTACTCCACATTCCGCGCACAAGACGTCGTACCCACCGTCACGCTCGACAAGGAGAAGAACATACATCTGCTGGAATTGTTTCACGGCCCTACATTTGCCTTCAAGGATGTCGCGCTTCAATTCCTCGGCAACCTCTTCGAGTACTTCCTCGTGCGCAAGAACCAGGGCAAAACTGGACGCGACCGGGAGCATCTGACCGTCATTGGCGCGACAAGTGGTGATACCGGCTCAGCAGCCATCTACGGTCTGCGCGGAAAGAAGGATGTGTCCGTCTTCATCATGCACCCGCATGGCAAGGTCAGCCCGATCCAGGAAGCGCAGATGACGACCGTCATGGACGCCAACGTGCACAACTTGGCTGTAGACGGCACATTCGACGACTGCCAGGTAGGCATCCTCAGGAGCAGCGGCTGGCATAGCTAACACGTCCAGGACTTCGTCAAAGCGCTCTTCGCAGACCCCGAGATCAACAAGACGCACCAACTCGCCGCCGTCAACTCGATCAACTGGGCCCGTATCCTCGCGCAGATCACCTACTTCTTCTACTCGTACTTCGACCTCATCAAGCAGGAGTCCTTCCTGCCCGCCTCCACCGTCCGCTTCGTCGTGCCCACCGGCAACTTTGGCGACATCCTTGCCGGCTTCTTCGCGAAGCGCATGGGCCTGCCAGCCGAGAAGCTGGTCATTGCCACAAACGCGAACGACATTCTACACCGCTTCTGGGAAACTGGCAAGTACGAGAAGAACCCCGTACATGGCAAGCAGGCTGAGGGCGGAATCCCTGAGGATGGCGCCAAGGCGCACGAGAGTGGAGTCAAGGAGACGCTGAGCCCAGCCATGGACATCCTCGTCTCGTCCAACTTTGAGCGTTTGCTCTGGTTCCTGTCATACGACGTGTATAGCTCAAACTCAGACGCGGTATCACAACGAAGGAGTCAAGCCGGTGATCACGTACGGAATTGGCTTAACGACTTGAAGACGAACGGTGGTTTCGCCGTCGACAAGCAGATCCTCGAAGCAGCACAGTCCGACTTTGCCTCGTATCGCGTCAGCGACCAGGAGACCCTCGAGATGATCAAATACGTCTTTAACGCAGAGTCATCGAAGAGCTACGTCCTCGACCCACACTCTGCCATCGGTATTGCAGCAGCGCTCCGCTCAGCTGAGGTATCCAAGCCTCCCTCTACACACCACATCGCGCTCGCGACAGCGCACCCGGCGAAGTTCGCGAATGCGGTCGAACTCGCGCTGCCAGAGCAGAAGGAATACTTCCAAGAGAAGGTACTGCCAGTTGAGTTCAAGGGTCTCGAGGACAAGCCGCGAAGAGTCAGCCATGTCAAGAGGTCAGAAGGCTGGCAAGGCGTACGCAAGGTCGTCATTGCAGAAGTAGAGGCAGAACGACAAGCTGCGGAAAGCGGTGCGCAGTAGATGGTAGATAGGCTGGGTATAGACAGGCTTTGTTTACGCATCTTTGCATAGACCATAAATGGTAGCTGTCCTGAGAATAGATCTCAATTATGTTGTTCATGCTCTAAACTTTACGCAATCACGAATCTCCATGCTTGAAGTAAGTCATCCCCCGTCCTTTCCGCAGCTTGTCGTTCTGCCTCTACTTCTGCAATGACGACCTTGCGTACGCCTTGCCAGCCTTCTGACGTTGAGCAATCCCCTATTGGCAAAAGTTGTCTTGCAATAGGTGTCCTTTTCGTTTTCTCCAGACATATCACTTCACCAGCACTCGTTGAGAAAATCCTAGTCCAACGCATCCTCAGCTACCTACTGAACGGGTCTTTACATTAATCTCTCTCCTTTGCGTTAGCATCCCTCTCCCTAACCACTTCAGTCTCGAACTCCAAACCAGCTCTCCTTCTCACAGTCCCAAAAACAGCACTACTATCGCACCTCCTCCCCCTCTCCTCCCCATAAACCCTCGCCTCCTCCGCAGCCTCAAGATACATCTCTCCGATCCCCAACCTCATCCCGTTCTCCCTCGCAAGACTAACCCCATGACCCACATCCTTAATCCCCAGCTCCAACCCCGAAGAAGGTGCCTGGCCTTCCGGCGGAAAGTAACTCCCACTCGTCAACCGTTTCGAAACGCCATGTGCGTAGCCACCGAAGTTTTCTCCAATCAGGGTTTCGAGGACAGAAGCAGGCAGCCCGGTTTTTTCAGCTAGAACGTGGGCTTCACTAAGGAGCAGCATGAGACCTGCGGTTATGAAATTGCTTGTTGTTTTTAGTAATAGCGCCTGTGATGGTTCTTCACCCACTCTGATCACCGCGCGTGCGATCACGTTCTCCAGGAAAGGCAGGATGGGGGTGATGGCAGATGGGGGGCCCGCAACGGCGATTAGGAGTCGTCCGGCTTGGGCGAGGGGTGTGGCGCCGAAGACGGGGGCCGCGATGTAGTATGCGCCTGTGGAGGTGCAGTGGGCGGCATTCATTGATGTGGTGGAGGGGTGGACGGTTGTTGTGTCGATTATGGTCTTGGTGGTTAGGGGGCTCTTGGATAGGTCGCTGGATAGGATGCAGGACAAGATGGTGGATGTGATGATTTTGTCGGCTCTGTCGTCGCTTACCTGGGGGTTGTTCGTGAGATCATGGGTTTATGTTGGGTATGGTGAAGACTCACGGAAACGAATATCACATCGCAGTTTTGAACCAATTCTGTGACCCCCGAACAGGGCGTGCCTCCGATGTCTTTCAGGCTGTCACCTCGTGAGAGAGTTCGGTTCCAGTACTTCAGTGGTGGTAGATTGTTCTGTGACAGATGTTTCTGTATGTTGATTGCCATGGCTAGACCCATGGATCCTAGGCCTATCCATCCCAGGCGGAGAGGCTGTTGTGTAGACATGTTGAGCAAGTGTAGGAAGACGTATTCTGAGATGGGTTGCAATACTGCTGATTTGAATGCTACACTTATCCCCAAGGTGAAGTGACTCAACTTGAAGACGTAGGTATGAGTATACATGCACACGAATCGAGTATGCAGCACACTAGTGTGTATTAGGCAAGCGACTATCTGATATAAGCGGATATCCCAGGAAGACTGCGGTAGTGGATATAACTCTCAGTCCTGCATCCTCTTAGTATATCAGGGTAATGAATACCTTGCGTAAGGCCAGTAGGACTAGAGCCACGAAATCGTCAGCTGTATTGTATTGCACGCCATCAGTGTAGCTTGTAACAAGAGCTCAATGCCGAATGATACCATTCCTTGTATTTTGTCAATAATGTAAATAATACAAGTGATGCATGGAGGACCCCAAACTCCTGGCTATGCTGATGATCGTAGATGGAAATGAACCAATCTCCAATAGTTTTGCTTATACATCTCGCGACCATGCTGTGACGGTAATCCACCATATCCTACTCCCCTCGCATTCCTTTGATCCAAGCTGTCACTTTGGAGGCCGAGCGCTGCAATAGCACTGTCTTCAGAGGCAACGTATCTCCAGAAGTCTACTCTTCGTCCTCATCATCGTCAACCACACGTCTCCGCTTCGTCCGGCTAACAACCACCTCATCATCGTCGTCGTCGTCGGCAGCAACACCACCCCGTGCTCGCTTGGGACTCGCCGCAATACCCTCATCTGGATCATCGTCGTCGTCCACGATCTCCGGTTCCTCGTCACTAGCGGCGATGAAGTCGTCCTCCTCGTCGTAGTCGTCCTCGCGATTCCTTCTTGGGCCACCGTAGTCCTCGTCGTCACTCCAGTCACGCCGTAAGCCACCCTTCTGCGCGTTCTTCTTCCGAGCTGGGCGATCTTCCAATCCGTCAATGTCGAGACCTCCTGAAGCGCGACCGCCGGTGCGGCCCATGGTGCGGTTTGCACGCTCTGCCTGGCGCGCTTCGTGCTTCTCGCGGGCGCGCAATTGCCTCTGCTTCTCCTTGAACGTGGCCTCTTCGCGTTGTCGGCGGAGCTCGGGGTCTTCATCCACGTTGATGAAGGATATGGCTTGGTCGGCATCGTCTCGGCCCTTTGCTGCGACCTTGGCAAGGTCGTTTTGCAGCTTTTCCAGCGCGGCGTCTTTTGTGTTCGATGTGGGTACGACGTTGAGGGAGGCCGTGAGCTTGTTCGTGACGCGCATAACGTTCGCTTCCTCGTACGGCGCAACCAGGTATGTGTAGCTCTCCTTCTTCGCGCTCGTCTTTCCATTCTTCTCGTCTCTGACAGCCGTTGGTGTGGGAATCTTCGGGTTGACTTGTGGTGGAGCAAGGGTGTTCGCATCGATGTCGTACTGGGTTGTAGGGTCGGTCGCAAGCTGAAGGGTTAGGGAGCCGTCTGACCACCTGAGAATCCGAGCATTGGATTGTAGGACGGCGTTGTTCGAGGGTGAGCGTCGCCATCTGACCGTGGTCATGGCGGTGTTGTAGGCTGAGAAGTGCTCAGACGCGGCGAGCTTGGAGTGGTGGTCTGTAGTCGGCGGCTGGAAGGTCTTGTGATCGAATGCTTTGTCTTCGAAAGACAAGAAGCGCGGCACTTTCAAAAGGTAAAGCTCGTTGTCGGTGGGCTCGGGAACGGGATGTCGCGCCAGGTCGGCGTCCATGTATGCAAATGTCTGTTGCTCGACCTCCTCCACAGCTTCGGGTGCTCTGACGCGATCTGCCCGTCCCTCATCGTCGCCGGAATCGAGTTCTGCATCATCAAGCTTTCGGTGCTCACTAAACACGTCAGTCTGATACTGGTACTGGGTTCTTCGCGACCTACGCTGGCGCATCTTCACCTGCATCCCCGTCTCCGTCGCCAAACAGGTCATCTTCATCATCCTCGAGACCGTTGTCCTCCACAGTGTTTAGCGGCGTGCCCTCGTCGGCATTCCCAGCAGGAGTTGCCTGCCCATTGACTTCTTCGTCGGAGAGTTGGCCCGCGTCGGACATGGTCGCGGTTGGTGGTTTGCTGGTGCCTCTGTTGGTATCGTATCCAGGCTCTTCAAGACAGCGACGCGACCGTAGACCTAGAGTTGCGAGTAAATTGACGAGATAGATGCGGTAAAGGTACGCGCACCGATTGATGGCCGCGATGAACAAAGTTGCGACCAGTAACCCATGAGGATCGCGCTATCCCAACACAGCCTAGCGTGCCGCCCCTTCTCGATGCAGCCCTTAGGAGAGTGGGCCCAAAAAGCGTGCCCGCTCGAGACGTATCACCAACATCCTCCCCCTCAATCCTCTTGCATACCTTCATAAGCCGGCCTCTCTAGGTGCATTGGACGTATCTGCCCCGTACCCCCCACACTAAATTCCACGAATCCGCAAATCATGGCCTCTTTTTTCGCAAACGTGTAAGTTGCTTGGCACATGCTCCCCTTCCTCAAATGCTCGCGCCTCCCACCCCCAGTCCACGGCCTGAAACATTCAGGCATTTGCTGCATGTCGTCTCACGATTTCACTTTCTGATATGCACCACTTTTCGGCATCTCCCTACCGTCTTATTGTGTTATAACTTGCGTCCGTCGGAGCCTGAAGTTGTCTTTTCCTCATTCTAACAACTTCACCGATAGTCGCCAAGGATTGGCTGGTCGATCCAACAAGGGCCAACAGCAGCAGGGCAAAGGTGGCTCCGCGTCGCCAACCACTCCATACTCGGCTTCACCAACAAACCAACAACCTCCAGGCCAACCGCCTATGCCCCATTCTCCCGCTCTATCCTCTGCCATGTCGTTCGAAAGCCAAGGTGCTCCGTCGGATGGGTCCGTGCCGTCTGGCTCCCGCAGACCGCCTTTCTTCTTCCGCGAAGAGTACTCCAACTTGATCGTCAAGGGTAACTTTATGACTTTGGCTGCGAAGCCGAAGCTAGTCGAAGAGGGCGAATGGCTTGCACATCAAGGTATGTTCATACTTTTCAATGCCCCGATATCGCTAAGCATGTGACCAGTTGTCGAGCAGTACAGGCTACTCGAGCAAATGATTGAAATCATCAAGGTAACAGACGACCGGACAGGCAAGCCTGTCTGCAACCCAGATACCTGCCCTACCATGTCTGCCAGTGGCCACACATACACCTGGCTGGACAATAACAAGAAGCCCATCAAGATCCCCGCAATCCAGTACATCAACCTCGTACAAAAGTGGATCGTGGGCAAGATCAACGACCCCAACATCTTCCCCACAGACACCACAGCCATTTCTATCGGAGCATCAACCTACGCTTCTGGTTCCATGACACCAACCTCAACGCCACAGCCTCTCGGCCCAACCAGTTCCAATGCCTCAATGTCCCAACTCGCCGGGCGCGAGTGGCTCGGCAAGTCCTCTGGCTTCCCTGAAACTTTCGAAGGAGACATTAAGAGTATCTACCGCCAGATGATGCGATGCTATGCACACATCTACCATGGCCACTGGCTCGACCCGTTCTGGAACGTGAGTGCGTACAAGGAGCTCAACACGTGCTTCATCCATTTCATCAACGTCGGCAAGCTGTTCAACTTGATCGGCGACAAGGAAATCGAGCCCATGCAGCCGCTGGTCGACCTCTGGGCTGAGAAGGGTCTGCTTCCGCCAATCACGGCAGCCAAGGAGGCAGGTGGGCAGCAGGCTGCACCCGCGTCTTGAGCGACAAGAGTATTCCACTTAAGTAACGAAATGGGCGCCATTTGACATGGAACACCACATCAGCAAGCTATCAACATTTATCGCCTTGCATGGGTAGCGTGAGGGGTCTGAGGGGATGATTGGCGTTCTGGCATGTATTACGATTTGCGCAATGTAGCCCTACATGTGAATAGAGCAATGAACAGTTCTGAACAACTTCTCGGGTCACCACACACATGCAGTCAAAACAGCAGCTAGTAAGAAGAGACTCAAATTTGATAGTACCACGTAAAGTAACCAGAGAACTGATTTCCCAACGATCCCAGAAACGAAATGTCATAGTACTTCACACAAACTCCAATGGCGAAAAGAGAAGAGAAACCATGTGTCTCCGCTCCACCATCCGATCTGACATTTGACACCGATGCAAATACATTTCATGGGTCCGTGGTTTTGTAGAGATGCGTCATGGCTGGGCTCTGCCACAACGATGGGGCGTGCGTTCGTTATAAGAGGTCTGTGCTAGCAGACGGTTGGCATTTTCGTGACTCGCTATGTGACGGTTCGCGCTCGCCAAACTTAGTTGTGACCGGCCTTGCGAAGAGAGTTGCTCAACCACTCGAGACCCTCGTAGAGACCGTCACCGGAGGTAGCGCAAGTCGACTGGATGTACTGCAGGGGGTTAGTTGACAGGCGTTTGAAGCAGGGGGGACCCGGAACATACCCAGGCACGTTGTCGGAGGCTGTGAAGACCAAGCTTGTCGGTGATCTCAGCGGCGTTCATGGCGTTCTGACGCATTGTTAGTCGTTTGGACATTTGTGTTCACGGCTGCTGAAACCTACAGGCAAATCCTGCTTGTTGGCAAAGACAAGGAGGAGAGCGTCCCGCAGCTCGTCCTCGTTCAACATGCGCTGGAGCTCCTCACGCGCCTCAACAACACGGTCGCGATCGTTGCTGTCAACGACGAAGATGATACCCTGGGTGTTCTGGAAGTAATGCCTCCACAGAGGACGGATCTTGTCCTGACCGCCGACATCCCACACGGTGAACTGAATGTTCTTGTACTCGACGGTCTCGACGTTGAAACCTGTAGGTCGAAGAATCAGCGCATTGTCCTGATTGAGCTCATGCTGCACATCGCGACGTACCGATGGTGGGGATGGTGGTGACGATTTCACCGAGCTTGAGCTTGTAGAGAATGGTGGTCTTTCCGGCAGCGTCAAGACCGACCATGAGAATGCGCATCTCCTTCTTTCCCCATAGCTTATCGAACAGCTTCGAAAATGTGAGACCCATGATTGCGGTGGGTGTGTGTGGTAGTATAGGGCGGGTGAGTTGGGAGGCGGTGTATAGACTCTCGAACCTGCGACACTAGTTGTCAGAAGAGGGTTGAGGAGAGTATCGTGGCCTTATCGGCTGGTATTGAGCACGGTGACGGGAGTCGCATGGCCGGCGCAGCCATGTTGAGCGCCCATTGCGGAGTCGACTCGAGGCCACGAGGGAGCTGGCCAGGCGCCGGCTACGGGTTGGGCAAAGCAAACGCAGAAAAAACAATGCAGCGGCGATTGACTTACGGACAGGTTCAAGAGAGTCGGTGGTATTCAGGGATGGGGCGGGTGGATGTGATGTACTCTAAACGATGCACAGGAAGGGCTGCGTTGAAGAGATGTGGTGGAAAGCGCGGCGAAGTCTGGGCACTGTTCGTAAGCTGGCAAGTGCCACAGACACGTGACAAGGGCGGCGATCGCTTATCGTCGTTTTGTTGAAGGAGTTGCGGTGAGAGGCTTCTTGCTTTCAGCTATTCCTTTACTTGGAACGCTTCTTATGATCGCTACTAAGAACTTGACACGTTTTGGCTCTCCTGAAGGCCGGATGTGGAACCCCAAGGCACCCATTTATGTTCGGTTGGGCGATCAGCTGCCCCGGGATTGCGTGAGCTCCAGACCCACACCTATCCGCACTACTGACTGGGCAACCGCTGTATACTGACGTCTGACCAACGCGACGTGTAGTTCGTGAGATATTCTGGGTCGCATTGATCAATGCGCATGCTATTGTCTTTCAGGGCGACCGAGGGACGCGGACCACTTAGAACACCTTGAAGTCTAGCAACGGGACGGTATGGTTCAACCACATCAGTAAGTTGAGGCACATTCTCCTGATTTAGGCATCAATACTCCAAGAGAACAACATCACATCATCGAGCGGAGACGTGGTTATTGCAAGGCAGTATTGACATTGATGTCGCATCAGCTAATCTCGCCGTATCCTCGTCGCCCGCATCTGTCTTCTGCTCCGGTCGTTCATCTAGCTTGTCGCTCGAGTATCTCGACTACCCTAACTCCATCAGCGAACCTAAACCTTGGTGGCCATGGCTCCAGCAGCCCGGATGATAGTACGGAAGCACAGAGAGACGCTTGCAATCCAAAGGCCACTGCGGACAAGTGTAGGCGCCTGAGTTGAAGTGGTGATGTAGGCGGCAGTGTAGGCGGCCCTGACAGCTAGGAACGAAGCGCTGAACGAAGCGAGCTCGCCCTGCGGCAGGCCAGCCATGTTACCGAGGATGACGGCGCCCATGAAGAGAGGAAGGTTCTGTTACTGTTAGTTCGACGGATGTTACAACAAGAGTCGATCAAATCTCACCTCCATCCCGTTGGCATGACAAGCCTCCATACGTTCGTACTTGGCATAGGTCTCAGCAGGCAGACGCTTCTTGAGCTCGGCCTTCATGTCGTTGGAGCGCGGGCTTCGGTTGTCCCACTCGAGGAGATTGCCCCGAGTAGCGACACTCACAGCGAGAGCGTGAGGCAGGAACGAGACTGACCATCGAGAAACTAGGTTAAACTACCGATCGAATGTAATCTCTCACCGGACAGCTTGTACATACGGATGAGGTAGGCTGGAATCGCCAAGACCGAGGCGTTGTAGCCGTCGAGGAAGGAAGGCATGTTGTTCTTGCGAGTGTCTGGCTGTTGTTAAGGTGTCGTGTGTTGGTAGAGGAAGAAGGGAGCTCTGTTGTGAGCGACGAGCTTTATTCGTCTTGTGGGGCTGTATTCCGCGGTGACTGCCTTAAGAAGTGAGTACCCCAGGTGAAGTGAGGGTCGCTAGCACGGGTGCTCTTTCCTTGCGAGGACATGTTCTACGGCCCGCAGTGACACCGCTACGTGAATGTGGAAGTCGCGCAGTCACGGACAACAACGCTACACCTCATACAAGGAAAAGATTGAACCGGCCTGCAGCATACATTAACATAGAAACATGCAAATCAGATAACCTCAGGTCTACGCTCCAGGGTATTCAGCTTTCTCCATGAGTGAGCTGGCTAGGTCAGATCGTGGAGACATCGCGCACTCAACCTCAGGTGTCTATAGGGCCACAGGGTGTACGAAAAAGACCCTGCAAGGGTCTCAAGAGCTATGGAGGAGGCAAGCGATTTGATCCTTGGTATTCGGCAGGCTACCTCTACAGCTCGCTGACTGTCACTGCGGGGCGTGTTGTATGCCCCACCTTCAGGGCTGTCACCATACGCATCGCCCCCTCCGTACAATTTTCCCCCCACGCTATACCTTCATCTAGCGATTGCATCCGTGTTTATTACATTGCGCAAACACACGATACGTTACGATTGCCCGGAAAGACCGCCTCAACGATACCAAGCCTTGTTCAGTCGATCGACATGGACGTCGCGAAAAATGCTTCTCGACAAGTTTGTGCTGTCTGTTGGGGAGTTTGCGGATTCGCATCAAGCAGAGAGAATCTTGAGATGGCCAAAAGTCAAGAGGGTCTCACTTCGTTTTGTCAGGCGCGAGACTTACTTGCAGCATCAGCTCAATGTGAAATGTGTGACTATCTGTTCAACGACGCCAAAAAGGACACCAGTCGTTTCAATCTAGATGCAAGAATCGCCATCAACATACAGTTTTCTAAGTTCGGAGGAGTAGAGACTTTTAAAGGTTCTGTCGATAATCTAAGGGTTTTTACGAAGGTAGAGGGGGAAGATTCACGTTGGTTCGCAGACTCAGGCTGGTCGGATGAATTGGGGTTTATTACATGGTCCGTTCTGGCTCACCGTGGTTCGTATCCCGCCCGCAACCATGACATAGCATCAACTGACATGGTTTGTGATATTCAGATGATCCTGCGGCAGCAGAGATTAAATGTTCTCCAGTCAATCACGACGTCAGCTCTAGCACCGAGCAAGCGAAATCATGGATTGAAGAGTGCAAGCAGTTTCACAAGCACTGTCCCGAACCCGCTATTCCTCTATTACCCACAAGAGTTTTAGATGTCAGCGAACAAGCTATTCGACTGCATATTTCCAACGGCGAACGGTGTCATTACTGTGCTCTAAGCTATTGTTGGGGTGGTCCACAACCAGTACGGACGTTGACCGAAAACATAGAAAACCACAGAACCGGCATCGAAGTCTCAGCTCTACCACAAACTATACAGGATGCAGCATCTTACACGAGGAAATTGGGGGTCAAATATTTGTGGATTGATTCGCTATGTATCGTGCAGGACAGCGTAGATGACAAGCGTCAAGAAATTGCGAGGATGGCAAGCACTTATCAAAATGCGTTGGTCACCATTGCAGCTACGAACGCATCAAGATGTGTAGACGGCTTTCTATCGAAAAGACGCAGACCGAATTATGAAACTTTTGTCGGAGATCTTCCCTGGAGCTGTCTCGATGGTAAGCTTGGGAAGGTGTCCTTGCACCGTCAATTTTCTGGAAAACCACGCGAGGAGCCACTCGACGGAAGAGCATGGGCCCTGCAAGAATTTTTACTTTCTCCACGCGTACTATCTTTCTCCTCACAACAACTAGTGTGGGAGTGCCAAACCGTCAGATACACCGATGGAGGAAACCCTGAGTCACAGGGAGTCTTTGAGATGGGCAAAATCAGAACAGAACCGTCCATGTTATCACCCTTGACAGCTGCAATAGTTTCAAACTCTCCGGGCAGTACGTCCGCGCATCAAGTATGGGGAGACATCGTGAAAGACTTTACTCGGAGGGAAATGACTGAAGAAGGCGACAAGCTTCTGGCAATTTCCGGCATTGCCCAGCAACTCCATCTCATGACGGGAGACGAATATCTAGCTGGGTTGTGGAAAGCGTCTTTGATGTCCGAGTTGATGTGGTCCCACGACTTGATTTTCTACGTTGCCAAAGATCCCCAACCCGCTAGACGACCCGAGACATATCGTGCGCCATCATGGTCATGGGCTTCTGTTGACGGAGCTATCGAATTTTGCGGGTCACCGAATTACCCGGAGCCAGTAGCAGAAGTCATACAGTGTGAGGTCCTCTTGGCAAACTCGAGCAAGCCATTTGGGGCTGTCATTGATGGTCGTTTGGTAATACGAGGGCCATTACGTTCGCTGGAAATAGACGAAGTTCTCCATTACTTCGATCTTGGCCCTACCGCATTCAAAGGGGCAAGGATACCCAGAATGATCCTAGACGGGAACGAAATTTTGCCAGTCTCCAGTGCAGTCTCGCTGCCCGACAGCATTTCAGGTGATGCTCAAGTCGATCAGCGCATATGGTTACTGGAGATGGCTCGCTACCACGCATATCCTTGCGGCTTTGTTCTTCGCCAGGCATCTCGGAAAAATCATCGATCATTCCGTCGCATTGGCTGGTTCGATACTAGGTCGCCATGGTTTGACGCAACATGGTGGACCCGCGATACCTCTATAGAGACAATCACGATAGTTTGAAGAAGATTAGGAGCCACTTCAGCTCGAAGGGATGGGAGGATACGCGAATGCCAACACACGCTTGATATCACAAACTCCGAGACGCCCGAAGACTGCTCCATGTGTGTACTATAAGATGGCTACATGTCATTCATCACTCCTTCAGCAAAGCTTCCAATTCCTTCTAGAGATCGGCAGGTGGCAGAGTATCTTCACATATATAACGCACCAGACAGCCTGTCGGCCCACCGACGCACTCCTGATACGGCTCACATTCTGCGCACGGCGGTTCGAAAGACCTACAATACTCTGGGTTGGTACATGTAAGGCCCCGACAATCTGTAGCCTGCGGCCTCAACCCCGTCTTGTCCTTTGGCTTCGAGACCATCGTGCTCGGATCGAGAGGGACAATGAACTCAGGAACAGTCCACAGCTGAGCTTCATCGGTCACTGCAAGTCCGTCGACGCCGGCCCATTTATCGCGCTGGTCAGGGTACTTCCAGGCGACGAATTCTTCGACGTGATGGGCGGAGAGTTGAATGTAGTCAACTACTTCGGTACGAGCGGGGTTGAGTCGGCGCAGAACT